CCTGGTTGTCCTGTATATTTTTTTCCCCCCATTATTCATAGATTAATGAATAATTAATTATTCATTAATATGCAGAGATTATTCATACCTTTTTTCTGTTTTTGCATCATGGTGTACTGCTCGAGGAGGCTCTCTAAGCAGAGATTTCAGTGAGTTTAGTTGCTGAGTAGTACTCTCATCAAGAACTAGGAAAATAGGCACAGTGAGGGAGTCAAGTTCCACAAGACTATTACCATGAGGAGACGCAAAAAAATTTTCATGCTCTAGTATGCACACGCTACTTAGAGCGTGAGAAACCATCTTCAAAAGACAGAAGCATGCCAAAAGGTTTTTTGAGAACAACTGATCATGTTGCTGTATAAGCATCAGTTTTAAAGTTTGTAATGTCAGCTTTGCCACGTGCCCAGTCAGACTGGCTCTTGAATGCCAGTACAACACAGTTAAACACTGCTGAAAATATTTTAGGACACAATGCATCCAGTGAGGATTCTTTACAGATTTATTTAAAGATGCATCCTGGTTCAGCAAAGAACATTTCACAAACTGAAGAATGTTGAAAAAATGGATAATGCAGTTCACTGTGTAGTTCAGCAATGCCTCTTTCTCTTCCATATTTTTTGAAATCCCTATCTGCCATGCAGCAAGGAGGTTTTTCTGAATGGAATATAGTTCCACTGATAATTTATCTTTCTCTTCAGTATTGTCTTTTGCATGAATAGTATCAAACATAGATGCAAATTCTAAGTGGCCTTGATCAGCTTTACCAACAAATGAATGGATTCTTTGGCTATAGAAGCTGGAAGGGCCATCGCAAAACTGCTTTTCGCCATCTGATTCTTCTTCATAATCCTAAATCAGACAAAAAAAAAAAATCAACAGTTTAATTCAAGTCTATTGAGACAGAGCATAATCTGCAAGGATCACCATTTAGTCAGTCTCACAAATGAAATCTTTATGCTTAATTAAAATTGCTTCATTGCTTAGAAGTTTAATTCACAGCAGTTTCATCTAGATCTCAAACTAAATGTAGCTATTTGGAATAATTGTGCAAACAGAAATTAAATTACCTAACAACAAAAAAACCCATTACATTGTAAACAAGCAGTAGTTTTTGTACCAGGAAGTGAAACCCTGTCCTTTATTAAGCCCAGCGTATGAGGAAAAGTTTTGCCAGATACCTGTAAGATATAAAAGCCATTCAACAAAAGCTCAAAAACTTCAAAGAACAAGTCAAAAACCAAAAGTATGAAATGGAGTTTGGAAAGGCTGCACAGTAACTTTGATCACAGAGCCATTCTTCCAAAAGCCATGTACAAATTTTGGAATTAATGGAAGAATCCCCTAAAATTGAGGATAAGTATCTTATTTACTACGGATAATAATACTGTATTTCTTATTAATATATTTTACAGCCCCAGTATATTTAGTAGTGTAATGTTACATTTGATTAAAAAGTGAAGCTAAAGTATTAAACTACAATAAACTGATGTATATGTAGATTAGTATGTATTTTTCAAAAAGTTAATGCACGGCTGAAAGAAATAAGATGTTTGAAAATAAAAATCAAGTATCAGTTGAGAAAAATAACACACCTATAAAGAAAATGAGAATTTAACCAATATGGAATTACTCTAAACGTACCTAGTGAGAGCAAATATACCTATATTATTTGAAAAAAATTATCCTTTACATTTAGAATACCTTAAATCATTTGCATAATTATAAGTGGAAAAATGCTATTACGTACCAGTAAATCAACGGTTTTCTCATTCATTTCTGTTGTGTCTTCTTCCAGGAATTTCGGAATGGTGGAAAAGATGGAGCTTTGGTTTTGAGCGTGTTTTAAAAGACTAGCTTTTAAAGACAACAGTGATCGTAAACACAGAGGTCGCCCTTTAGACTAAAAGAAATAACAATAACACAAAATATATTATCTGTCTTTAGCAAGATCAAACCAGACACTTTCTAAACAAAACAAGGAAATTGGTCCCTTCTGTAAAAAGCTTCAGTTTAAAAGTCCCAGACAGAAAGGGAGAACAGGTCAGCAGGCGTATGTTGCACAGAAACAAACTATCATTTGACCGTGCTTCAGGAATGCAGAATTTTCTCAGCACCAGACAACTTTACTTTGCTTCATGCTGAAAGAATCCGCTTCCTTGATCCCTGAAATGATCCTACAAGTTTGCCAGTATGTAGGGCTTTCTTGCATTCTTACTGTATCATATAGTAACATACCTCTTTAAACCCTCAAATCCTTGCCCACTCTTCTAGCTTATGCATGAATACCATCATAACTCACTTCTCCAAAAATCCAAAATACAAACTGAATTGGAAGAGAAGTTGTATTCCATCAGCAAATGCAAAAATTCTGAACTTAATATCTATTACATTTTATGTGGTTGGCAGCAGTTGCAGGATCTCTTCCTTCAAAGGTTTCCCGTCTGCCAGACTTAGCTCAATTTAGAAGCGACAGAAAAATAAACAAAAATCTTTAAGCTAGCTTTAATTGACAATCTCAATTGAGGATCTAGCGGACACACGCACACAGCACCACTGGGTCTGTTGCTGACTGCTCTAAAACAGCAGAAGCCTAAGATACAGGTTTTACATAATCCTTTCCACATCATTCTGAAAGGATGAGTTGGTCAGAGTAGCATAATACCTGTCAATGCTCTGAACTAACTCTATAGATACAGAAATCCTAATTTCTTTTACAGTTCCAGAAAGAATATATAGTGACAGTTAAGACTGTCCCGTTTACTACATTTTACTGAAATGTCACCCAGACATCAAAGGAATAAAATTTCAGAGAAAACTGTGTATTCATTGTTTTCCAGATCAAAACTATTCTCAAAACAATTTATAATTCAAAGGAATTTATACAAATATCACAGTAAACTAAGTTGAGGTACTCAGTTTAAAAATTACGCATTTTTATACACATGAAGTTTTTTACTTAAAGCCTACAAAATAATTCATAACCCTACCTTGGAGTTCAGCAAGTTCCGACGGATATTTTCAAGCCGTTGGGTTGAATCAAGCAAAAGAGATCTTATAAATCCTGATGGTGAAAGGTTGTTAGGAAATCTAAGCACTGTTATCATGTATCCATCAGAGACAATGAGGTAGGGTAATCTTGAATGTGAAGCAACAGAGAATCTCTGTCTCATAAGGTCACTTTCAGAAGCTGAAGAACCAAGAGACTGGCTAGAGTCTTGACAAAAAGAGTGCTGCTGCCTAAAACAAAGGTACATCAAAAAATAAGAAGCAACTATCATATGTAATAATCATGAACAGAATAGAGATGAAATCACTTATGAACATTTAATACCACTCACACCACTGTCCATTCAGAATGCTAAGGGAAGAGTCTAAATTTTTGCAGGATGACCACTCAGGATAACACTATGCTTGCAAAATGCCAGTATTTTGCTGCAGTTGCAACTTTTTAAATTTAAAGAAAAATAAAAACAGCTTTCAGTATTCTCTTATTATTTCATTAATAAGTATTATACGTATTTTTTCACATTTTGACTTTAAATTTCTATCATACTTTCTTATCTAGCTCTTACTGCGCATGACAAGTGCTTGAAGATGAAATTTTAAGTAGCTTCTAATAAAGTCATATATGAAAAACAAGAAATCCCTCAAGATCTGAATCTTAGTATTTCAGAATCAGTTCAGACATTCAACAGGAATATTTTATATCAATGCACAAGTCTTCTCTTACAAAAGAGGTCGAGAGGAAATGGCCTCAAGTTGCGCCAAGGGAGGTTTAGATTGGACATTAGAAAAAACTTCTTTACTGAAAGAGTGGTCAGGCCTTGGAACAGGCTGCCCAGGGAAGTGGTAGAGTCGCCATCCCTGGAAGTATTTAAAAGACGTGTAGATGTGGCGCTTAGGGACATGGTTTAGTGGGCATGATAGTGTTGGGTTAACGGTTGGACTTGATGATCTTTAGAGGTCTTTTCCAACCTTAATGATTCTATGATTCTATGATTCTAAGAGGTCTTACAAAGTCTTTTCTTATAAAAAAATCACTCCTTACTGAGTTCCAGAAAGCTGAGTTGTGCATGTATTCTAATATTAGCCCCGTAACACTTTGAAATAATGTATAAAAGGACTGGGGTTTTTTTTTTTTGTTTCTTAATAGTCCAAAACTTCGTAGATTATTTGAAAAAAAAGCAGCTGCATACATTCAATAAATAACCATATTTAAGGTATTTTAATGTATTTTAGTATCTGATTTTTCAACCGGACAGTGTAAGAAGGTATTATAATGCTTTTAATGTTTTCATGAGATGTTACATTTACACACTATCCAGCTTTAGTCACTCAGAATTAATAGGATTTTTTTTTTAAATTAAAGTTTAAATTATATTTTGTTTCTTCTAGTTATTCAGATTGTGTTACTTTTTGTAACTTTCAATTTATGCTAAAAAGTGTTATCAGAGATCCTTCTATTCCCCCATGCACCCAGCAGCGTAATTTCAAAATGTAGTTCTGGAGTACCCAAAAAAAACCATTTAAAAAGCTAACTAGTTTTTGTCCATGCAAATATGTTACTTACAAGATCTGATTAAAGTTCTATAGGTAAAATTAAATAGTGAGCAGAGAAATACCACTAGATTAAAATAAATCTGCACTTTTAGTATTTCTGTAAGTTTAATTTCTTATTCCATCGTAAAAACATGCTATTTTTAATTACTACTAAATTCATACACTTTTAAAAAAACAAACACTTAATGTATACTTACATTGTCACAATGCCAATTTTCATCACGACAAATCCATTATAAGAAATAGAAAAGAACTGAATGAGAAACAGATACTGAGAAGACACATGAAAAGCAAAAGAGTGAATACGAAAAATGAAGTTTATGTAAAACTGTAAAAAATATGTTAGAAAGTAAGATATGATCATATGACAAAAACGTATAAAAATTTTCAAACCCTTTTACCTGTATGTTATTAGTGGATGAAATGGAATAAACTCTGCTGGTCCAAATTCTACAGAGCAGCCAGAAGTAATCAAGGTCAGCAATTCACCCATACATGTCAATAAAATCAAAGATCCACGTTTTAACATGCAAGCCAAGAAAAGGCTATCAGCAGTCCAACTCATATCACCAACCCAGTAAGATCTAAATTGGGCAGGAAAAAATATTTTTCTCTGTCAAATTTCTGTATCAGAAGGTTAGGATAATTAAAAAAAAAAAACCAACACACACCCCCCCAACACAAACCCAAAAAATCCACAACAGCAGTAGAAACATCAATTACTGACCTGATAAACTTGGATGGGACCATGCTATGCTTGCTACTACAACCTTTAAGACTACCCGAAACAGTTACAAAATTCAATGTGTTTAAAAACAAAATCTGAGTTGCCTGGAAAGAAAAAGTAAATGTAAAAAAAACCATGTATGTTTGTATCAAAATGTCATTATTGCTGATCGAAAAATTTTTTTACAAGTTATGCATTACATTTGATGTACTGGAAACATTATTATACATGAAAAATGACATTACACTTTAATATTTATTACTATTTAGAGTATTTATTAATTTCTATATCTATTTCTACATTTGAAAAATAATTATATACTCGATACATAATTCCATATTCTTTTTAACATAACTTTTTCTAAAACCCTCAAAACAATGTAAGATCATTCTCCTCCAGTCTTGTTGGTGAACAACTGGAGCTCTGAAGGACTGCATCATCCCATCCTGGTACACTAAATAAGCTGGTCCATGTTCCCCGTCATCATTAGCACTAAAAACTACATTAAGATTTGGCCTCTGAGCTGTTAAAAGGAGTAACATTATGAAGTGGGAATATAACCTCCAGTACCTGTTAGGCTGAGGCCTGATTAAGAATCATCCAGAATATTTGCAGATACAATGCAGTAAATGAAATGAGTTTCTTTATTACTGTATTTCTTGGAAATTAGAAATGACAGAGGAGCTTACATGGATTTCTTAACTGAACAACAGCATTCAAAAAATTACAAGTTAGGGCAGAATTTTTTAGCTATGGATATCAATGTGAATATAATCACACGTATCAATAAGAATGCTGAAAAATCACTCCTAAAAATGTGTTATTAAATCCTTGTTACCACTTCATTCAAACTGAACTATTGTCTTAAATAATTTACTGTCTATCATTCATACCTTTGGATCAGTTTGATTAACAGCTACTGCAAGTAGAAGTCCATCTCTTGCAAACGCACATAGCAAAGCTCCTCTTGACTTTACAGACACACACCGAGGAACCAAATTAACAAGAGAACAAGTCTGCTGTACCCAATGGACCTGGTATGGCAAAGAACTGAATATCAGAAAAAAAGACAACAAAACCAAGGGGTTACTCAGTTATGCTGAATGGGATGATTCATATATAGTAAAAAGACAAAAAGACATAAAGCATGAACAATTAAAAAAAAAAATTTCCTTAAAAACTTTACAAATGAAAAATATTTTGTATTTACATGAGTTTAAAAATTATGTCTGAGCACTGATAATTATTTTTATGGGACAGGAATTTGGGCTATATGTATAGCACATGCAAATAAATACAGATGCATGCCATATAATTAAGGCACTTGTATTCTAGCCAGGAACAGCTTCCAACACAGGAATACTCAGAATTCGAAAATGAAAATCAACAATATGCTGCTCTGAACAAAGAAGTTGTGGATGCCCCATCGTTGGAAGTGTTTAAAGTCAAGTTGGATCGGACTTCCAGCAACCTGATCTAGTGGAAGTTGTCCCTGCCCCGGGTCGGGGGGTTGGACTAGACAATCCTTGAAGGCCCCTTCCAACCCAAACCATTCTATGATCCTAAAAAGATTCAAAACATGATAGAAAACACAAGAAAGATTCCATTTGGAAGCATGTCACCTAACAGACAAAAAATAAAGCATTAACATAAAAAAAATGAATTAAACAATAGTAAGCAAAGAAATTGAGCGAAAGTTGGCATAGAAGAATTATGAGTAACGGCTGAGAAATGTGGTTACAATTTCAGGCTGCAAGTACTACAGTATATATATGCACTTCTACACTGGGAATGTTATGCTCTATTTCATTTTTTGTATTATCAGAAAAGCGTTACCATGCTACTGACAAACTGAGCGAAGAGTGATGCTGCTAAGAAGGGCAAGGAGGGCATCATTACTAAGTTAGTATCACAAGGGCATCATTCAACAGAAGCACTTGTACCGCATCAAGTGCATGGCGAAATTTTAGCAAGTTACTCAAGTTATAACTGCAGAGGACATACCCATTTAAACTCATGTATCTCACTTAGGAAGAGGAATGCACTATACATGTACTCAGGATTATTATTCAATTGCATTTTTAAGTGGTTGAATCAGTATAACTATTTCAGTACATAGTCCCAGCCCAGATACAAGAAATGCACACACACACTCTTACATAGTTCTGGCATAAGAGATGAAAAGGGGAACAGAAAACAAATAAAATATACAAATATGCATAATAAAGAAGAGAAAGAGGTATTCAGGGCATTCATGGCTGCACAGTATGCACTAGTAATATAAGAAAAACAAGCAAAGGAAACTATTAGCATGGTGCAAAAAGCTCCCTGACACTAACATACACGTGTGTGCAGGCATGTGTATGTATGCATAGTCACCCACATACGGTGATAAATATATTCAGTTTTATTCAGGTGTACGTTAATAATGAAGTATAGAATACATACATAAATGCTGTTACATTAACCACATTTAAATACTTGAAAATGGCCACATATGTCCATATATGGATCATATATGTGCATATATTGTTCATATATGCATATATATAATGTGGCACACTATGAACATACATATGCAAACATAAGTAGGTGCTTGTAACCATAGGCTAATTGGACATCAATGTAAATGTGTTCAATTGCAGCTCTGAATCCCAGCTCTAAAGCACTTCATAAAAAAAAATCGTCCTCTTAAGCTAACGTAACTTCAAATATTGTTGAACTTACCTAACGTATTTAAAGCTATTTTCATGCCATCGAAGAACCAAAAATGTGAGCACCAAACATTCTCCAGAGTAAAACACGAAAGAGCACAAACAGCAATCACCTAGTATCTGTGGAAAAAAAACACAACCCAAAACAGAACAAACCCAAAAACCTGGTTACACACAATTTTCTCTTTAATTATTTATGTATTTAGATCAATAGCTATTAAAATACAGATTAAATAACATAATGTTGTCATTCAGAAATATAAAGGCTGGCAAGAATATTATTGGGCCAGATAAACTTTGATCTGATCCAGTATGGCTGTTCTTATATTGTCATTAAATCTAGTATGAACTGAATGATTAAGCCTACACATAACACCAAAGAGGCAGACATCACTCTCAAAATCCAGTATCGCTTCTGTGGCTCTAATTTACTTAAGAGATTAAATGATTGCTCTAGGACTTATTTTTTACCTCATTTTGTATGAAAGCAGCATGGACTCCAATTTCTTTTTCTTCAGCAGAAGGCAACATGACTGACTCATCAGGCAAAATTTGCGTCCAACGCCCAGAAGAATCTTTGTAAGAGGATGTATTTTCATGTTCTGTGCTCTCCCACAAAAAGACACATGCTGTAGGAGTAGTTAATAGTGCTTTTCTGCCATCTCCAGATACATACAAGTACAATCTCATTAAACATTCTGGGAAAAAAACACAACAAACACAACAATGTGCCAGAATAGTTTCTGCTCCTCCATTAGATTTACATTTAAAAAGAAAAGAGAAAGGAAATTTATTTTCTTCTCTATCACAAGAAATCCAAGCTGCCACCTTACGTACCTTTCATTTCGAGCTTCATCACTCATTGTAGACCTTGGGCAGCAGTAATGTCAGAAGGGACGCCCATTTTTATGCATTTTATGAATTATCTTTCCCACAAGACTCAACCACTAGAGTTGTTTCCTGAGATCATCTTTCTTGAAATCCATCTTTCATGGAAAGTACTAATAAATGCTTAAGTGCTCTACTATCTATTACCTTCAGCTCCTAAATGCACTACTGATCTTCCCTGAAATGACAGAATTGCTTGTACAATACTTCACTTTACAACCTGGTATCAGTGAGATTATTCAATACATGACAATATTTGATACATAAGTTTACAAATACATGCCTTTACATTATTCTCTCCAGTTAGCATTTGTCATAAAAACCTACCTACAGAATAAACTTCAAATTTTGCATATAGGTTTACATCAGATGTATGCCTGCTCTAAGGTATTGATAACCTAGTAAGTAATGTTTTTCTACAGTTAAAAACTAGCCATTAAAAAATAAAATATTTACTGTACTTAAAAATGAATTACTATTTACAGGGGATTACTAAATGCAAAAAACTGTACCATTCAAGTGACAGAAAGAACATTTGTCGAAGCTTAGCTAGCACACAAATTATACAAATGCAAAACAACGTAAGAATACAGCTTTTACTTGTGCAGTAACACTTAACAAAAGGAAAACCACTTTCACTCTATCTCAATTTTCAGAAGACTAGTTGAAAAAAACCTACCTTGTGCTGCCGCAACTACTTTCCTAGACTCTTCGATTGCTGGCACAATTTTCAAGCAGTCCTGATCTTTATTCCAAAGAAATAGCTCTCCTGTTGTAAGTATGCCTGCCAACCAAGCACCTGTGTTCATCGTGAGAGAGATGTTTTGAAGGGTATTATTGTGAAGTACTTGAAATTATTTCCTTTCCATCTTAGCTACAGTTCTAAAGCTGACAGTGAACTGGCAGATCCTATAGATATTCTACCTTTCTAAACTGTTACAAGTGTTACAAGGGCAACATTAAAAGCTTCTATAGGTACATTGGGGATAAAAGGAAGACTAGGGAAAATGTGGGCCTTCTCCGGAAGGAAATGGGACACCTGGTTATCTGGGATACTGAGAAGGTGGAGGTACTCAACGACTTTTTTCTCTCAGTCTTCATTGGCAAGTGCCGGAGTCTCACCGCCCAAGGCGCAGAAGGCAAAGGCAGGGACTGGGAAAATGAAGAGCTGCCCACTGTAGGAGAAGATCAGGTTCGAGACTATCTAAGAAACCTGAAGGTGCAAAAGTCCATGGGACCCGAGATCCATCCGTGGGTCCTGAGGGAACTGACGGATGAAGTTGCTAAGCTACTATCCATCATATTTGAGAAGTCATGGCAGTCCGGTGAAGTTCCCACCGACTGGAAAAGGGGAAACATAACCCCCATTTTTAAAAAGGGAAAAAAAGGAAGACCTGGGGAACTACAGGCCAGTCAGTCCCACCTCTGTGCCCCCGAAGATCATAGAACAGATCCTCCTGGAAGCTATGCTAAGGCATATGGAGGACAGGGAGGTGACTGGAGACAGCCAGCAGCGCTTCAGCAAGGGCAAGTCCTGCATGACCAATCTAGTGGCCTTCTATGAAGGA